CCTTGTTAGCTGCTGCAGTGGGAGAGCTTGTCCTACCCCTCAGGATGGGAAAAGGAGAGCTGATCGTGATGGTATGGACATATAGGAGGAGTGCTGGATCTGCCCATTACCTGACAGAGATGGTCCCAGTGGAGGCCTGGACTGACAAATTCAGTTACCACCCAGGCCCACATCCAGTGCTTTGAATTGGCTCAAACCAACATCTACACCATCTACACCTGCTGGAGCACATGAAGGGACTGGTCCAGTAGAGCCAGAACTGAAGGATCTCTGTGATTCAGGGCAAAAGCAGGATACCTAAGAGAAGTTTTGGTGAGAGTCCAGTATTGAGGATGTACCAAAAGCAAAGGTCTTGAATCAGACTAACAACTAATTACAGTGAACAATTGCAAGTAAAGCTGTTTGGACAGAAGAATATACTGTGTGACACACAGCAGCTCCCAACAACACTAAGATGAATGAAGAGGTGATGGAGAGGTAGAAAAGATGGGGGAGCAATGTGATTTTTTAATTAATTTTTAAAGTTTTTCCTTTGGGTGGGACATTACAAGGTTGAAGAGTGGGATATGGAGGGACTGGGAAACGAGTACGATTGAGGTGCATGATGTGAAAATACCAAAGACTCAATAAAATCTATTGTTTATTTTTTAAAAAATAAAAAATGAAACTTTAAGTTTTATCATATGCACAGAGAGAAAGGAAGGAAGGAAGGAAAGAAGGAAGGAAGGGAAAGAAGAAAGAAAGAAAGGAAAAAGAGAGAATGGAAGGAAGGAAGGGAAAGAAAGGAAGGGAAAGAAAGAAAGAAAGAAAGAAAGGAAGAAAGAAAGAAAGAAATAAATAAAGAAAGAAAGAAAGAAAGAAAAAGAAAGGGACTCTCAGGAGGCTCCTTCTTTCCTGAATATGCCAACATGGGTGGCTTCCTTCTTGGCATTGTTACAGTGAATATGTACTCAGATTCTACGGGGTAAAGACAGGTAAGGGAAACCCAAACATAGGACAGGGTCACATTTAGTCTGATAGCAAACGAAGAGGCATCACATGAGGGCAAGCAGGTTTCAATAATAGCACCAGACTCCATTTCCCCTAGTGAACTGATTTTTAGGGCTATCTGGTGAGGAAGCTGAGAGTTGAGGTTGACTTGGGAAAAAAGCACTTCAGTTGTGAGACCTTTGATGTGCCACACAACGAGAAGGGTTTCCTTCTCAACGCTTCCTTCTCTTTCTCTTTGTCTGGTTCTCTTAATAGTAAAGACAGAGCAAGCAAAGCTAACCTAGGCAAACCATCTATACCACTGGTGTCCAGTGATGGGAATCTTCCTTAGTGGGTCATTTGCCTTCAAACTTCACCTTGTCATGGAGAGAAATGGAGCTTCTGGCAAATTTTTGGCAAATGGACTTCCCTATTCCCCCTCTCTCTAAAGGAAAGCAGCAAAAAGAAAAAAGAGACTTTGGAGGGCTCTGCAATCTATTTTAACCTCTTTTGTAAGACACATTGCTTGAGCTGAGAAAATAAGCAGCATCTGTTCAGAGCTGTTACTCATAAGTATTGGGTTTGGTTGAAGAAGTGGCCATGTGGAAAGGGGGAGTAGATTAACTCAACACATTTTCCATTAAGCTTTCTGAATTGTTTCTTCAGTGCTATGGAAAATTAATGGCCTGTTGGTCTTGTACAAATTGTACTGAGTCATGGCATGACTGATGGTGATCTTTAAAAAATTATTTGCCTGTGGTTAAAATTCATCTTGGGTTTATACATTATTGGAGAATATAGCATCAAGCCTCTGTTATTTTGAGAAAGAAAATGATTTTTATCTGTACATCCCTAGGAGAAGGAGTGGATTTGTTTCATCAAACTTGTGGTTGTCAAGATTATCTTTAGTCAATTACATACAACAGAACACAGAGCAGTAACAGAAAGAGTTGGAAGACTTCTAGCATTCTTTCTCTACCCTGTTTTACTGCTCCTACCCTCTTCTACCCACTCATATTCCCTCATACACATTTAGCCTCTGAGCCCAAACCCTGCTAACACATTCATCCATCTTCTTATTCTTATACATGGTAAAAGGCCCGAGATACTCATGTTTCCTTACACTGTATCAGTGCCTTCTCAGTTGATCATGCTGCTCTGCTTTCTCCTCAGGAAAGCCCACTATATGTTTAATGCATGCCAGGCATTAGGAGAGCCAAATACTTCACATGCATTATCTCTAAAACAGCTCTGCAAACATCCTATCTGTGTAACTTTTGGTGGGAAGATCTTGAGAAATTCTATTCACCCACAATAGAGAGGACAACAACAAATCAAAAAAGGACTCTGCCAATGTTTAACTTGGCAAACCATCAAGTTTATTGTGGTTATTCAAAGATGAGTCTGGATGGTTTAAAGGCAGCCACAGCACTAGAACTTCTGCCCCTCGCACACAAGACCCTTACGGGCACCTGCAACACCAAGAAGCCTTATCCCCAGTCAATTGTTTATGTCTCGTATCATCCCAGATGGAGTCACATGGGCACCTGGTGAAGTTTGAACCTTGCTAGTCTCCTGTTCCTCCTGTGAGGGTATGTCAATAGGTAGCAGTTCATGAGAGTTCTGTGCCTGTGATTACAGCTATTCTGTTTCAAGATGGTTATCATCAAGTCCACGTGGCAGAAACAGTTCTACCACAATGTTCAATTTTAGTGATGAAGAGAAAACTTCACTAAGGGGCAGAGCTAGTTGATGTGGAGTCAGGATTTGCAATTAATGTTGCCTAATCCCCAATCCTGAGGTCATAATCATAACAATTTCTTTAGTTCATCTCTCACATGACTACAGAATTATCTTTGTAAATTACTTAGTATAATTTAAATTCACTTCTTTTGTCATATTATATTATATGAATCTTCATGTGTATGTATACATATATGAACCTTTCACATATGTATATATATATATATTAACTATATAATGTATATGGGGTGTTTCATGCGTGTCAAGTACATATGAACATGTGTAAGGGCCAGAAGACAACCTCAGGGGTCATTCCTCAGGTGCTATCCACCGTGTTTATTGAGAAAGGGTCTCAGGATCTCTTACCAGGAACTTACCAAGTAGCCTAGGTTGGTTATCCAGCAAGACACTGAAACCCATTTGTCTCCATCTATCTCCTCAGTACTGGGGATTATAAGTACACACCAACACAAAGCTTTTCCTTCCTTCCTTCCTCTATTCCTCCCTTCCTTCCTCCCTCCCTCCCTGTCTCCCTTTCCCCCCCCCCCCTCTCTTTCTTTCTTGACAAAGTCTTTCCATGCAGCCCTGGCTGTCCTGGAAATAACCATGTAGACCAGGCTGGCCTCTGACTCACAGAGATGGATCTGTCTCTACCGCCCAAGAGTGTGTCACTATGCTTGCCTTCTTTTTTAAATCTTTGTGTAGGATTGAACTTAGGCCTGTATGTCTGCAAGGCAAGCACTTTACCAACTTATATGCGTGTGCATGTATATGTATGTGTAAGGAAGTAACATGTTTTCTTATTGCATTTTCATACTTAATTTTGATAGAATCCTCTCCCCCCCACTCTTCCCCTCATTTCACTGCTCCTTCTGCCCCTGCTGTACCCTTCCATCCCCAGGATTGCCTCATTCACTTTCATATCACGTTTTGACTACCCTTTCCACTCTCTCACTTAAAGTCTCCTTTTACCAATATTGTGACTCCTTTTGTAATTGCCTAGTTGCCACCAACATGCTCACATAAATACACAGAGTTAACAATTACAAACTTGGATCCATGCATAGAAGGCAGCCTTCAACCATTCACTCTAGTACTATGCCTTTAAACTGATATACTTTACAACCAACCCATCTAACCTGTGGCCCACAGGTTTCACATTTCCTGGGATAACTATGAATGCATTCTAACACATTTGTAGATAACATTATGTCAGGATGTCAAAAAGTTAGACATCTTGGATAGTGCATGTGGGATTTCATAACTTCACTTGGTTTTGGTTTCTTACTTCATTTCAGTTTTGTCTATGCGGAAATGTTTTCCTTCTGGTTCCCATCCCTTTCACCCTAGCCACATCCCCACTCTCTCACCTCCTCCTGTTTGGGACTGTTAGCTTTCTACTTTTGTGAGAAACAGCTGAGCTACTCAACTTTATAAGAAGGAAGATAAACACCTTAAATTCCAGTACTCAGAGGGCACAGATGAGTGCATCTCTGAATTTGAGAACAGCCTGATCTACAAAATGAGTTCTAGGACAGCCAGGACTACACAACACAGTAAAACCCTGTCTCAAAAAATGTAAATGTTAACAGCTATAAAGCTGAGCCTTCCCTGATTGGATTTTTGATTCCTCTAGGTGTTTGTGTATTGTATTTTGTAGACCTGAGTTTCTTCATACATACAGCCCCTCATCTCTCCTTGAGCATCTTGGATTTCTATGCGAATGTTATGACATGCCTTATAGACAGACTCCTCGATACTCTGAGTCCAAATGAGTTTTCTAGATGCAACTCCTTTTTCCCTGAAGTTTCATAAACTTAAAAAAAGGCTTCCCCGGGGTAAAGAGACGGCTCAGGACAAAGAGCGCTTATTGATCTTGCAGAGGACCAGAGCTTAGTTCCTAGCACCCACATGATAGTTACCAACCATTCCTACCTCAAGTTCCAGGGAAACCCACACACTCTTCTGACATCCATGGGCACTAATTGTACATCTGTAACTGCAGGTGAACAGTCTTACACACAAAATAAAAATAAATTTAAAATAAATAAATCTTAAAAAAGGAAGCCAACTTTGGGATCTGGCAGAATGGGTCAGCCAGTAAAGATGCCTTCTACCAAGCCCAATGATCTGAGTTTGATCCCTAGAACTGACTCCCACAAATTGCCCTCCTCACTTGTCCCTAAACACTAAATAAATAAATGTCATAAAAATTTTAAAGAGAAGTTTGGAAATTTATTAAACATTGCATTTTTAAATATTGTTCATATACTGTTTATATTCTCCTTCTGAAGCTCGATTTAAGCAGAATTTTTGTTGTTGTTTTTGAACAAGCAAGAACATGTATTTGAAAATCCCACATCTTCCCCCCTCTGTTAGTTTGTTTAGATATTTTTATAGTTAGGGCAGAAGGGAATTAAAGGCATAGGGAAACATGAGCTGTTTGGAAATTAACAATAAAATATTTTTAAAGAGAAAAACGAATCAATATTCAACTTTTCAAACATCCTGCTGCTTTTTAAACCCGGCAGTCATACAACTTACTTCGTCAGCAGAGTTTATGTAGCAGCTTAACTGTTCTTAAACGCAGAAGCAATCTCAGGAACCAACATTAATGAAGGACCACTTCAGGCAGCATCAGAGGATGGGAGCAGTCCTCCTCAGTAGAAGCACACGGTGTGCAGGAAGGTCTTGCCAGTCTTTACCTCGAACTTCTGCAGCAGCTCTGCTATCTCGTCATCCACATCTTCCATTTCCTGAATACTGTGGCAGAGCTCAGAGATGAGGAAGGCCCCGTGGGTGGCTTCTTCGTAGCTGTCAGGGATGTTCACATTGATCACGTGCACCAGCTGACACACCATCTGTTCCCTGGCATTCAGGTGTTCCACCACCTGGTCATAGACTTGCTCCTCACATGTGAAGATCACATTGAAGAGGTCATTGCTGCTCTGGAACTGTTCAGGGCCAGACTTGATTCTCCGGTTTCTATCCAGCATGTGTAAAATGCCATTCTGGGTATAGAAGGCTCTATCTTTCTTCAGCAGGTCACGGTATATTTTTTCATACATTGTTTGGAAATCATAAATGTTCGGCTTGTCAGGTGTGGGCCCAGGTAGCCTCACAAAGCCCTTGGTTCCAAAGGACTTCACATTGAACCCTTGTTTGCTCAGGACCCAGTGCGCCTCCATGCTCCGGTTATGGTTGCTTGAGGACACCACGGCAACATGGAGCGGAACCGACGACATGGGAATGGCCGCTGTGGCTTCACTCACAGCTGGCTTCGCTCACAGTCGGTTTCACTCAGAGAGAGATGTCTCTCAGATGCGCATGAGCGGCAAAATGACCACAAAATGGCGCTTTAAAGTCTCGGCCGAAGTCCCGCTGACTGTCTCGTCAGGCTGTGGAGTACGACCGTTGAGGACCACGTAGGTGCGCTGATGAGGGCTAGAAGGCAGCTGGTGTGACGTCACCAACGTTCCACAACAAATGAAACGTTCTCGTGATGCACTATGTAAATATGGGCACAGTAGAGTGCATCTGTCATTCCAGAACTCCCACGGTGAGATGGGAAATACAGGCAGGCTAATCCCTGATAACCTGTAGGCCAGCTAACCTGGTGTACACAGCAATGAACAATAAAAAGGTGACCCTATCTCAAGGGGGGTGGAAGGTTATGACCAACACCCGAGGTTGTCCTCTGACCTCTATACACGTGTACACACACACACACACACACACACACACACACACACACACACTGGTATGTAACATCCTATCTTTCATAGCCTAGTGTATACAGAGGACTCTGAATTTATTTAGTCTTATTTAAGCCCTCCAACATCCTACTTAAAGCAAAAGGGTTTCAGGCATACAACTGCCCTGGGACAGTGTTCAGTTGAGATCAGTGATGTTTTTTGGGGAAGTCCTTAACTTTTCTCTAGTGTAACATGAAAAATTTGATATTGATCCCTCTTTGTGCTCAAATTCGTGTCTCCCCCTTGTTCTATGAGAAGATTTTCTCCTGTTTGTTCTTCTATATCTCTGGTCTCTCCTTCCATTAACTCCTCTGACTCTGCTTTTTTAAATGTGGGTGTTTCTCAGGATCTGTTCCTATTCCTTTTATCATTTACACTCTTGGAGCAATCTAACGAGCTGCAGTATGTCATCACCATCTGTATAGTATTTCTCAAGCATTTGGAACCTAATGGGGTAATGACGTATTAGAACCATCAGGTTTTTAATGAAAAGATTCATTTCTACTTGTAATTCATCTTAAAAATACAAAAGTAATGCATATTTATCCCCAGTGAAGAAGTAATGCCATTTTCATAACAGAGGAAATGGTAAAGTCATTTGCAAACTTCTCAGTGTCTACATTGAATAGCTTGGATTTTAGGTCAAGTTTCAGTATATTATTCCTCTACTTTGTACTAGTTTATAAATCCCTAATTCACAACCTTCAGTTATAGAAATAGTATCAATTATTTGCTGTGTTTTTCAGGTATGTTTTGGATGTCAGTTAAGTATAGAGACAAAAATTATGAAGATAAGAGAATTCTAGCTAAAAATGTTTTGTTATGTGTTAAGCTGATTAGCACATTGCAGAAAAAATAGTGGGGTGTGTTGTGGAATAATCTTTTCGCACATTATGAAAATTTGTCTTTTGGATTGGTTTGATAGAAAGTTGAATGACTAATAGCTAGGTGGGATTTTCAGGGCAGAGAGAATGCTGGGAAGAAGGGTAGAGTCATGAGGAGATGCTATGAGGCAGAGTGAGTAGGATGGAAAGTGTACAGATGAGGTAAATGAACTTTGGGGCAGCACATAGATTCATAGAAATGGGTTAATTAAAGTTAGAAGAGCTAGTTAGAAACAAGCCTAAGCTATTGGCTGCATTTTCTTGACTATACAAGAAAACATTTGGTAATTTGAAGCTGGCTTGCAAGAAAGAAAAAAAAAAACCAATCCACCTACAGACATGAATATTTTAGTTTGGGAAATTGCAACAAATAGATTGCTAATCCATTCTTTAATTGTATTCCTTTCTTTGTAATTCAAATTGAAACATTTGTGTGTGTGTGTGTGTGTGTGTGTGTGTGTGTTTGTGTGTTTATGTACATAGAGGCCAGAACCCTGTCTGTCATTCCTCAAGCATTGTCCACTTCATTGGTTTGCTTTATGGTGCTTTTTTTGGAGACAAAGTTTCTCACTGGCTTGGAGCTTACCAAATATGGCTTGGGTGACTGACCTGTGAATCCCAGTGGTCAACCTGTCTCCACCTTCCAGCACTAGAGTTGCAAGACCACACCACCACACCTAGCTTTTTTTTACAGTAGTACTAGAGATCAAACTCAGGTTCTTGTACTATGTGCCATGTACTTTGCCAACTGAGGTTTCACCTCAGCCCCATGCCAGGCTTTTTACATGCAGCAACTTGTTTTCATTTTTAGAAACACTTATTTACATATCTATCCCCCATTCCCCATGGACCCCCAAACCACCCACCACCCACTCCCCAAGGATAGTGACGTCCTCCATGGGGGATCATCAAAGTCCATCATATCATTTGAGGGAGGGCCCAGGCCCTCTGCTCCATATCTGGGCTGTAATAGTATCTCTCCATAGGGAAAGGGCTCCCAAAGTCCATTTGTGACCTAGGAATAAACCCTGGCTCCACTGTTAGAGGTTCCATAGACTGCCTTGACCTACTAGCCGGTACCCACATTCAGAGGGTGTGGTTAAGTCCAATGCTGGTTCCCCCACTTTACAACTAGGGTCTGCATGCTCTCATTAGGTCAGGGGGAATCAACTTTTTTATGCTTACACAGCAATCATTTTACTGACTGAGCTATGTCCACAGCTTACAAGTGAATAAGTAGTCAATTTGATCTTCAACCACTGTTCAAGATACCAACAATATTTAAATTAGCAGAAAAACAGTGTATAGATTTAGATAAATCATATCAATTTACTCACTAAGATATAGCACTGTAGAGTGTTCTTTTTAAATAAGAATTGAAAAAGTGACCATATTAACTTTAATAAATATTAATATCAAAGTATACTATTTAATAACTTAGTATGAATGCTTTCCACATACAAAGGAAAATTAATCATAGACTGTTGAATTTTCTTAAAACTACTGATTTTCCATTAGCCTATCCAAAATTGTTCTTAGGTTTTCAATCCATAAATTTAATTCTGTATTGGAATGGAAGGCCAGATTTATCATATTCACACATGAGAATTGATACTGATTCTGCAAAACCCACATAAAAGACCAGGCATGGCAATGCATGCCTAAAATTCTAGTGCTGAGGAGGTGGAAACAGAAGGATCCCTGCAGCTTGAAGGCCAGCCAGACTAGCCAAATTAGTCAACTCCAAGTTCAGTGAGAGATACTGTTTGAAAAAAATTATGGAGTGTGTGTACATGCTTGCATCCCAGTGCTGAGAAGGTGAAGACAGGAAAATCCCAGAGGCCTTGGTGGCCAGCTAGTCTAGCCTAATTAGTGAGCCCAGGCCAGTGAAAGACCTTGTTTCAAAAAACAAGGTAGATATTTCCTGAGGAATGACACCTGAGGTTGACCTTTGGCCTTCACGCACATGTGTATACAAGTATACCCAGAGTAACACACACCCACAAGTACACACACATATACATTTTCATATGCATACCCAAATCCCTGAACTTGTATAAGATACTTTTTGGCTCATGGTAACTTAATAGTCTCAGTTATTTTTCTGTATATGCCAGTTATCATTGTTATTTATAAATAGATATGTCACTAGGAAACTTTTTTCTTGGCACAGATATCTAAGCAAAGATAATAGTAGAAGGAATAGGAAAATCAGGCTGAAGGTAGAACAATTCTATGGTCCCTGAGGGGGAGATAAGTATCTTAACTATTCACCTTTGAAACTTAAGAGGCACGTGATTAGGTGTTTGAGAAATTTAACTTTAGTTCCCTAAAGATGAATACTTATTTATTTTTACTTCTTTATGTTTTTAACATCTTCATAGAGTTTGAGTATGGTTAGAATGGTCTTACCTTTTCTTATTTTTATTTTTTGAGTTAGGGTGTCATTGTTATTTCCTAGGCTGTTCTGGAACTTGCTATATAGAGCCCAGGCTTGCCTTGAACTTCAGAGTCTCCTGTTTTACTCTCCTGAGTGTTGTGATTACTGATATGTATACCCAGCAAGAGTGATCTTTAATTGTGGTAAATTAGATTCTACTCATATTAGTGTGAGTATGATTCCTTGCTTTACATCACTGGCATAGTGAAATTATTTTTTGTTTTCTCTCCAGCTTTATAAGGTGCAAGTGACAAGCTAAGTAGGGTGACCCTTACCTTGTAATCCCAACATTTAGAAGTCTGAGGCAGGAGGACTGACATAAATTTGAGCCCAGATTGTGCTGCATAGTTAATGCCAGACCAGCCAGAGATGTGCATCAAGAAGACCTAAATAAGTTTCAATTTACAAATAATTTTTATGTATTAATGGTGTACAACCTAATGCTTTGCCTTTTTAGTTTTTGGCAGTGCTGGGTTCACACCCAGGGCCTCTTCCATCCTAGGCAAGTGCTTTAGCACTAATCCACTGATCTGAACTATTCATATGTACACTGTGCAATGATTATGCCCACAAATCTGTGACTCCACTTGTCTATCATCTTCACTTCTTAATTTTTGTCAGGGGACATTTTATGGAGGAAGGAGTGTGAAACACAGAACTGTAAAGAAAACTTTGCAGTTGTAACTCTTTACTTACCTTTGAAGGAATGTATCTTTTTGTTTGTTTTAATTCTTGCTTGCTAGGTACTGAACACAGAAACACTTTCATGTTAGGCAACTGAACTAGAGCCTCAACTCCAAAGTGCATCTAGTGACAACTTAATGATACGTAGTTACAGGAACAAATTCTATTAAAAGCAGTTGTAATAACTTCCTACCATCTCTTTGACAGAGTGCAGACTGTAATGATAGAATTCAAATGTTATCCAGCTCAATGTTTTGCTATGTGGCAAAGCCCAGGTCAGTGTTTGTTACAATTCAGTTGAACCAAATATTAAACTTGATCACAAGAATAGGTCACTGGATATTGAGCGTCTGTGTGGGGCTGGAGATGCAGATCAGTTTGTAGAGTGAGTGCTGGCCATGTAGGAAGCCCTGGATTCGATCCTTTGTACTTTGTAAAACTGGGCACTGTGGTGAATGATTGTAATCTCAGTACTCAGGAAGTGGATAAAAAGGATCTGAATTTCAAGGCAATTGTTAACTCTATAGTAAGTTCAAGGCCCACCTAAGATACAGGAGAATCTGTCCACCAGAAAACAAAACAAAACAAGAGGTAGGTCTGTGTGAATTCATTACTCGCCCAGCCAATGTGGATATTTTCTGCA